CATAAAAAAGTGCAAAACACAAAATGTGAAACTGCAAATTTGCATGTTACTCCACATGGGCAACAAACCTTCATGCCAAATTAGGTGAAGATCCATTAATGGGGGGGCGAAGTAATGGTAAAAAACAGCCATAAAAACCACAAAACAAAAATACAAAACTGGAAATTTGTTTGTATTTCCCCATGGACCTAGTGAACTTCTATACCAGTTTTGGTGAAGGTCCATCAATGGGGAGCTAAGTAGCAGTAAAAAAGCCCATAAGAACCACAAGACACAAAATGCAAAACTGAAAATTTGTATGTACCCCCCACATGAACCTAATGAACCCATTGATGTTTGCAGATATTTTTTGTTTTAATTTAGAATGATTGCTCAGCAGTGCATGTTGTTATTGGAATTGGGTAGAATAATTTAAAGATAATCATATCTTTGGACAATATATCCTACAGGCCTTCGTTTTCTTTCAGAAACTATTTTAACTTGCTCAGTGAATTAAGCTGGCAATTCCTTCCTTTGCAAATTTCACCCAGCATTTCTAATGTGAAATGATAGCCTGTTTATTTAAGTATCTATCAAGAAAGCTTCACTGATGGAGGAGATATCCTGTTTGGATCTACTTGCTGCATCAATTACATGCTTCTCCAGTTTTACTGCGAATGTGAAGTTTTCCAATGAAAACCTATGCTCTCTTGCAACTTTGAAACTTTGATGTATATATGATGAAAATAGGCCATGCGGTCACTGAAGATGTGTGGAGAGCATTTTCCTTGACCCATCTTAGTGCACTGGGCTTTCTAGGAAGTGTAGGATCTTCTAAACAAGACTTTCTGCCTTCTCTACTGTTCTTGCTGGACACAGTATAATTTTTATATCATCCAATTTTCTTATTTTATTGAGATTTAAACCAGAAAGTTCAACACATTTGCCAAACCCTCTTGTGACAAATGTTTTTACACCTTATGTCAGTAATTATTTCTGACATTTGCTCCTGTGTTATTTATAATCAATAGAAGGAGTAGGTTTTAAACTTACTGAGTTCTTTATGAAGGTAGATTTGCTTTCGATATTGTACAAGCTATTTGTGCACCTCATTTCTTCTAACTATCAGTGAGACTACATCGGCCAGTGAAAGAAATTGTTTTAAAAAGAAAGTGAAAAGCAGTGCCTATCTGTTTTAATATGATATTTATTTGGGAATTTTGTACACATTTATTTCCAATCATCATCATCATAGACAGCAGTACATCGATAATTCTACCGATGCTTAGCTGCCACACAATCATGAATTATTATTACAAGAAAATGGGGACAAAAGTGGGATCTAACACGCCATGAATACGGAAATGGTGGAGCACATACAGGCGGGGGCACAGCATCTAAGCCATGCATACACAAGTACTCGGGACAAGTCCTCTGGGCGTGTCCAGCGACATCAGCGCGACAGCTTCCTTGCGGCTTTCACTGCCACCTGAAGATTCATCATCAAAGATACGTCAAGTTAAAATACCTCAGCATTTCTCATTGAG